AGTTTCACTGCCATTTCAGGTATTTCCAACCTGGATTCATAATTTAAAAAAAAAATTGAAAAAATTCTAGAAGTTGTGAAAGTGAAACTTAACCAACTAAAGTGCAAAATTTAATTGCCCTGGTATATTGGGAAATTGTCAATTTTTTTGCTGATGATCCCCTTTAACAAAAGATCGTTTGCCTGAACTACGTTTCTCTATGTAGTAACCGATGTTCGCACACTCCATCCAAACACGCGGCTTTTATAAGAAATATTCGCTTCAGTTGATTACATCATATTCAGGAGAAAAATATTGCGAAAAAAGTTGTTAGTTATATGAAATATAATGAGTATTGAGTATTAAAAATATAAACTGATAAACACCGAATCCGTGGAAAAGGTCCAAGGAAATCTGTTTTTTCAATCATAAATGAATGGCCCAATAAGTGTACGGATAGCGGAGTCCCATAATCGTTAATATGCAAGTAAAAATATAATACATGAGTGCTCTGTATGATTTACGCGAGATCATTGCTGGTTCAAGTGTGACTATCTTGAAGTTATTAGGCTGAAATCGAATAAATCTACTCAGGTAGACCTTGTGTAGTGTTATTCGAAGGAATCGATCGGCATGCATGCGCGCGCCTGTAGCGGAAGACTACATTGTGTACAAGTAGAAATGCAATAGTAGTATTAGTAGTAGTAGTAGTAGTAGTAGTAGTGGAAAAACCTTGCAACCCAGTTATCATAAATCCACCAGTGAAAAATAATTATTCCTAAAATCAATAATCAAGTTCGACATTTCTCCTCTATTGCCATCATTGAATAAGAACGAATGGACAATAAAAAATTTGACAAGCGATTGTTGGGAAGGAATTACTACGGCAGATCCCACCCCTCACAGTTTTGTCTTGCATGCCAACATACTTCCATGATTAAGGTAGATATACTTGTCGCTTATAGTAGATACTTGCTACATACTCTATCAGTAGATTTTACCATAATGGATGCAGTCTTATAAAAAGTGGGGAGTGAACATGATCTAATATGATTTGTTTTCGGCCATTTTGAAAAATCACACATGCTTCTGATTCATCACAGAAACACGACTAGTAGCTTGTTACTTGTTGGTGTTGGATTTCGGAGTCTTCACCGAGCACAAAATCCACTTTTTCGAAAGTTTTTTTTATATTTCTGGTCTTTAGAAAACATTTACTCATTGGTTACTGTCGGGCCTTTCCTTCGTATTGCAAAAAAAAAATGGGGAAGTCCGGAAGGGCTTGCTTGGTGGGGGTTTTTATTAACAATACATTGGATGAACCGAGAGAGTCAAGAAAGTCAAAACGAAGGGTTACGGATAGAAGGAGGAGATCATATTCCTTTCTGAAAAATAACATTAACCTCGACCACATGAGTAACAGTTAGTTCGTAGTATGTCTTAATTCTGAAAGAACCCCTCGACTGTGTGGAGTCAAATAATTTTAATAATAATTCTCAGTGTTTAAAATAGTCCAACCGGTGGTATATTTCTATCCCATCCAATCGTTAGTTAATTATTCTACGATGGTAAAAAATAATTCGGCTCTTATGGACAGGTCAAGACGAAGAGATACCTTCTCATTTGACCAGAACCTATTCTCACATAGAAAAATTGTCTAATTGGAAAAATTTCAATACATACTTTCTATAAACTTCAGCAATAAATACGGTAAATATTTCAAATAACTCCACCACAAATATTCACCAGACAATTTTCGAATTTCTCTGGTTCAGTAAGGGCTGCCCCCTCAATATTTATAAGAATGGATTAGCTGGTGAGAATGGCGAGGGGAAAAATAATATGAGGTATTATTATATACAGTAAGGTTCAGGAATTCTTCACTGGTCCCGTAATCGCCTAAATGAAGCATGCGCAACTTCCAGGAAGCGTGGAGCATCACCATAAGCTTCAATTAGTAATTTAATTGTATAATCATAGTGGACATAGTAAAGGAGGCCTCGCAATTACTATATTGGAGAACCTCGCGTACACGGAGAGAAGAATACTTGAAAAATTACGGAACTTGTACGTAAATGTGGGGTAATCTTGGTTTTTAGGGAAAAGTACGGGGGGCACCGTAAAACTTGTCCTAAAAGTTTCGTAAAAATTCCTGCTCGCTAGGACAACTTTTACGGAACTCTCAGTACGTTTTTCCCGAAAAGCAAGGAAACCCCAAGATTACTTAAAATTTCTGTAATTTTCCGAGTATTTTCCTATCCGTGTAAACCGTTTACCAAATGGTAAGGTGGGGAAAAAGGCCGTTACGCTTAATAAAAAATGAATTAAAAAATACAAAATTAATGTCGATTCTAGAAAAGTCTTATTTTCAGTATTATGTATTGATGACGTTATTTCCTCATATATGGTGTGAGTATAGACGTCTTCCGAAAATTTCCTTCAATTCATCTTTTTAATTGAATCAATTTTATTTCATAAATATTTACTAACAGGAACGAGAATGACCATCTCTAATTTCTTCTTCGCTTCTAGAATTAAACAGCCTCTTCCTAGCGTTCATTCGAAATAATTTTATTTAATTTGAAAACAATAAAAGCGTGATGGCAAGAAATATGTCACATGTTCCCTTTTGAATCACTTCTCCTCGTTCCCTTCTCTGTGGCTGCACTCCATTCCGGTTGATCTCAGCGGAGAGTAAGGGTCTTTTCGACTGAAGTTTCAAGAAGAAGTAGCCTATGTCGAGGGAAACAAAAAAAAA